CAGGCTCAGCAGGGCTGTGTCCTTTCCAGGAACCTGGCCATGGGGCTGAGCTGGGAGCTGCTGACATGACAGATCACAGCAGACCCAGCATGAGAGAGACACAGGCCACCATCTTCATCCTCTGAGGTCCCACAAGGCCACTTGCGCTAAATCAGGTCCTGGGTCATTTAGATGCTGGGTAGTGATTTCTGATTCCACAATCTGGTCGCTCAGCACCACACACCTTCTGTGGGGGCGTGACTCTCCAGGGTCACTGCACACAGGGTGTCACCTCTTCTGTGACATCCCTACACCACAGCACACTGGCATCTGTCACCCTCATCTCTTCCACTCTAGGCAAGTGTCTTTTCAATGCTTCCTGTGAACTTGGAAAAGGCACCAGAACCTACCTGACTAAGGATGTCACCTGGGCCCATGGTCTCTGTGAGGGCACCAGGGTCACTGTCTCTGCACAGGACATGAGGTCTGGAGTGTGGAGGATTCTGTGGTCCCTAGGTGAGGGGGATGTGTCACTGCAACCAGGACAGGCCCCCTGGGCAGCCCCAGCGTCCCTGCTGCCACTCCAGGCTGCAGCACTGCTGCCCCCTGCTGGGGGAGGACACTCAGAGCAGAGGCTTCCCTCCCCCAGGTTCCTCCACAGCACCTGTCACCCAAGAGGGTGAGGACCAGGGAGTCCAGTCTCACTGGGTAGCAGTGTGAACAGTTGCCCTGCACAGCCACACACTGAGGTCCATGTGCTGTGTGCAGGGAGCCAGGAGGGTGTGGCTTCTGTAACCTCCTGGGAGTGCAGAAATTCCCTTCTCTGATTCCTGTTTTGTGATGGAAGGGGTGGGAGGTAGAGGACAAGCTGTAGCTCTTCCAAAAGCAACAAGGTCCCGAGACATACCTGTGACACCAGATAGGGACCCAGACTTCATCCATATTTAGGAGCCAAGATTGACTCTTCCCCTCCCAATCAGAGCAGCTGCAGGTCACTGGAGCCCCACAAGTTCCTGCCACTAGAGCTCAGCTGTGCCCTCATATCCCCCCATCAGTGTCACCATCAGCATCTCTGTCCCCGTGAACAGCATGAGGAAGACATCAGTCCTGCTTTCCAGGGTCCCACATTCTCAGGGAACAGAAGGTCAGGGAGTGGGGTCCCTCACTTGTTCCCACATTGTCCTGAAAGGGCGGGAAACCCTGTCACTTTCCCGCTTAGATCTCCCAGGAGCTCCCAGTGAGCCTGGGACACACAGAGCTATGTTCCTTCCACTCAGACACCCGGACATGCAGTCATATTCCCATGGTATTGTGGTTTTAAAGATTTAGTTATCTGCTCACCCCACACATGTCATCCTTTGAAACCCAGGGCCTTGTGGAGATGTGCTCACTGGCTCACAGGATAGGAACTGTCCCTGAAGGGCCCGGCTGCTGCACCCGTCTGCACTTCCCAGAGTCACTGATTACGGTCAGTTTCGCTGTGGAGCACAGGGCTAAGGGAGGTCTGTACAGAGGCAAGTGACACAGCCAAGGTGTGACCTGGAGGGAACAAAAGAGCATAGTTTGTGTGACCCAGCGGGAACAGAAGAGTGTAACTTACAGTTTCAAAGACAAAGGAGAGCAAGAGACAGAGACTCGGGTTTCAGCACATAGAAAAGGAGAAACAGTCTGTATTCCAGTGTGTTTGCAATTGTTATGAGACATCTGAGTCACAAGTAACCTACTTTTCCTTTCACTCCAGATGATGCAATACTTTTTATTTTGCACTGGTAAAATAGGCCTTCTATTTTACCCTCATGAGTATTTCCAAGTGCACAATTGAGCACCCGTAGGACCATTTCCAGGCCTCTGTAGCCCTTCCCTCCACCTGTCCCCAGAGCTCTCACCACCCTAGATAGAGACTCTGAAGCCCTCAGTCAGTAACTTTAGGGAATTGGTCCCTGGGGACAAGATGAAGAGAATCAAGTGAAAGTCCCCATTAAGGACCTAGGGGGTGGCAGTGCCCAAAGCTCAGTGGGCATGGCGCTGGCCACATACACCGAGGGTGGTGGGTTCAAACCCGGCCCGGGCCTGCTAAACAACAATGACAACTGCAATGTAAAAACTAGCTGGGTGTGTGGCAGGCGCCTGTGGTCCCAGCTACTTAGGAGGCTGAGGCAAGAGAATTGCTTTGGCCCAGGAGTTTGGGGTTGCTGTGTGCTGTGATGCCATAGCATCCTACCCAGGGTGACAGCTTGAACCTCTGTCTCAAAAAAAAAAAAAAAGGACCCAAAGCGTTATCTACACATCCTCCCCAGGCTCAGGGACACTCGACATGGGAAGAAGGACCCCTCATCCTGGAAACCACATGAGACACATTTCCTGGGGTGTCATTAGGGCTGGTTTTCACTGAGAGGAAGAGGATAGATATCCAGCAGGTAGCACTGTCTGAGACACCTGTCCTCTCCTGTAGGGACTCGACATCTGAGGCCCTTATTTTAGTTCATTCTACTGGTGCCTGCAATAGCGCAATGGACCCCAGAAGGAGGAAGTGGATTTTTACACATTCAGTCAGACAATAGTCCCACTCTCAGTGTCTGACATAAGGAGGAATGTTCTAGAACATAACAATGTGGCTGCAGGTGCCCAGAAGGCAGCACTGATGCGGAAACCCAGTGCTTCTCTGTCCCTCTCAGAGGGCAGGGTCAGAGCCAGGGCACCCATGGGACATGGATGAGGCAGCCACTCACACTTGTCCCCAGTGTCATCACCCTCCCTTCCCTGTCATGACACAATCCATGGGGGCTGGGCCATCTGGACACCAGGAGAACACCCAACGCTGTGCCGTGCTGTGGTCAGTGGGTCAGACATGCATTGCCTGGCTGGGGTCCTGCAAGCTCTGGTGAGACCCCTGCCCTCCTGAGGGTGGGACAGACCATGGGACTCCTCCCTCCACATGAGCTGAGCTGTTTAGGGTGTAGTTGTCGGGGCTGTGCTGAGTGTCTCTCACAAAGTACAACACATAACACTTTATCCACAGTTTCCACAGGAAGGGAATAAAGCTTGGGAGGTCACACAGCTTTCCAGAGCAGTGTGCTGTGCACTGGGGAGGCTGTTTCTGTCATACACAAGGAGCCAGAGAAAGTTACCCGTGGGCTGTGGCCCCAGGGCAGGAGGCTCTACAGCAGGCCAGACCCTGGTGTGAGCCGTCCTGCTGAGTGGGGCCCAGAATCCTGCAGCCTCCACCTTGATACGGGACCTGGTGATGCCAACTGGAACCTTGTGATTATGAGAAACCACACAGGTGAGTCCCAGTGGACATCCATAGGTTTTGGAACAAATCTTTGTCACCTCCATTACCAAAGTATTGACCTATGGTCCAACTACCAGGTGTCCACTTGTGCTCTGGTAGACACGACACAACACAGGACATCTCTAACCACACAACTACAATTGTCAGGTCCCCCATCCTGAGCTCAGGCAGGCCCAGCTGGCTCCCTGGGGAGCTGGACATGGCACAGCTAGGATGGAGCAGGAGCAGGGCCGAGGCTCAGTCCCCTGCCCCAGCAGCTGGCCCACACCGTGGCCTCGTCTCTCCTCCTCCAGCTCCTCTCCCTGGGCTCACACTCAGGTTCTGTAGGAGGTGGGCACCTGTCAGAAGCACCTGTCACCTGAAGGGGCCAGAGCTACTCCGTCCTATAGCCATGTGATGTCACGTTCTGACACCACATATGATTGAAATGACAAAATAATGATCTGATACAATTTAAGAAACCCAACATATCAAAAATAGATCATTTCTACATGTAATCAATGGACACTTATACAGGAGATATTTACACACTTGTCTATGGCTCTGCTCCTCCTTCATCTCTTTCTACTTTACCTGCTTCTACTCCCCATACCCCACCTCCTCCTTTCTCTCCTCCTCCTTTTTTTTTTTCTGAGACAGGGTCTCCCTCTCTCCC